GAAAACTGGAAGGGGCTGTTGCTGATATCCCTCAACAGAATGAGCATTCATTCTGATTCTTTGGGGACTAGGGTAGGGATGATTTTGCCACAGTTGATTACACACCTGTAATTTTACGAGTAAAGTGATGGGTCTCAAACTTCAGCATGCATCAGAATAACCTGAAGGTTTTGTAAAGTACAGATTAAAATGCAGGGCGAAGTGCTGGCTGCTGATCTTTCTGATCAAAAAGTTGGTTGTTGTGCCATCAAGTCGAATCTGATCCATAGCGACCCTGTATAGGGTTTCCAAGGAGTAGCTGGTAAGCTTGAACCACCAACCTTGCAGTTCAAACAGTTTTGCAGTCTGGCACATTAACCCACAGCGCCACACCAGGACTCCTAACCAAAAGGTAGGAATTCCCAATCTACCAGCCCCTCTTCTCGAGTTTGCGTCTAAAGAGGACAGCCTTGGAAACCGTTTGGGGCAGTTCTGTTAAGTGTTATAAGGTCACTAGGAGTCGTATTCCCAGCAGTGGATTGGGTTTGGGTTTGAGGTTAGACTTCAGTCCCAGAGTGTCTTATCTAGTTTCCAGGGTAGGGTTTCAGCAGTTGTGTTTCTAACACGTTCCAGGTACTGCTAATACAGTTGGTTCAGGAACCACGCTTTGAAACCTCCTTGCTTAGATCTTTCCGGGGAGCTCCTAGTGCAAGGTTAGGATTTTCCCTAGTCCATCAGATTTAGCTGTTTCAGTGCTTTCAAGATAGCCAAGGAGCCAGGAGACAACCCGCGAATGTTATCAAGCTGCCACCAAAGGGCCTTCGATTGCTTTTCCAAGGAACTCCCCCCCATCCCTTAAATGCAGGCAAAATACAGATACAGCACTATTCCGGAGTCACGCGGCCCTCGGCAGCCGCAGGGTTTGCTCAATCTTTACTAATCCACCTCTTGTCTTTGCTCTGCTGAGCGGGGTGGAGCGCGAGGCGGAGCTACCGCCCACGGAAGCTGCAGGGCCGCAGAGGCGGTGGGTCCTCAGTCAGCTGACGCTAAGCGGCTGGCCAGAGTGCCCACTCGGGAGCCCGAGGTCGGAGGGTGAACATGCGGAGTCTTCTACCTCGCATTCTCTGTCTGCTGTTGGTGCCACTGCTGGTGGGCTCGGCGCACTCTAAGCATGTAAGTCTGTAAGCACCGCGCGCAAGGACGCACTGATGGGGGGACATGCTTGGTGCGAGCCGAGCTGGGGCTGCGGCCGCCTGGGGTGTCGTAGGGCTGGAAATATGGGACCCTGAAGTAACTCCAGGCAGGCTGGCAGTTTGGCGGGGCGCAGGCAGAGGACCGGACCTCCCTCCTGGGGCGGGCCGGGCGGGGCGTGCGTCCTTCCTAGTAACTCCGTCGCTAGTGTGGTACGCCTCAGCGGCCGTTCGCTTGGATCCGATTTCAAACGAAGGGCTGAGATAAGGTGCGCCCCAAACCTTTCCAGTTTTTAAGTTTTCTGGGAGCGGGGCTTCCAAGTCGCACGCCTTCTTCAAGGACTTCTCCGGCTCAGGCTTGGGGCGAGCGCCCTCCCCTGTTTTAATTCCTGATCTGGGGAGCGCTCCGGAAGAGGAAAAATGGGGTCAGGAGAGGCCCCCGAAATGGGAGCGTTGGGTTATTTTCCTTTGGGATATGCTCCGCTTTCTGATAGCCCCACCTTTCTAATCCCCACCGTCTGCTAATTCACTTGGATTTCTCATTTCATTCGTGTGCCCCTTCTGGGTTTGGCAGTCCAGGTCAAGAGTGGGCTGAGGGCAGACTGAAGCTGGCGTGTGGGGCGGGGGCAGACGTAGATTGTAGGAAGTCTGACTGGGCGAGTTGGTAAGGTGTAGGGTCGCGCACGTTTGGCGCGCGCGAGAAAACACAGCTTCAGGCTACCTGCCTTTGCTAAATCAGGGGCAGGATATCCTTGCATTGGTTTTTGTTGTTATTGTTAAAGTGCCGTCGAGTCGATTCCGACCCATAGCGACCCTGTATAGGGTTTCCAAGTAGTAGCTGGTGAGCTTGAACTGCCGACCCTGCCTGCAGTTCAGATGGCTTTGCAGTCTGGCGCATTAACCCACAGCGCCACACCAGGTTTGGGGGCGACTTTAAAGCGCTGCCGGGAGGTCGGCATCACACACCGGAAAGGAGGGTGGGTATCTAAAACAGCCACCTGCATCTCATTCAGAGTTGGGTGGGCCGAGCCTGGAGCTTGATTTACTTAGAAGATGGTGGAATTTAGGACCTTTGATTTGTAAATAACTCACTTTGATAAAAGCCTTTCAGTAACTTGCCCAGGGCAGAGAAAAGTCATAAATTCATCTAAAATTAAGCTTAAAAATCTTAAGTATTTGAAAAACATCTCTCAAAATGTTTTCATTTTGGGAACCGGTCACTTCAAATTGAGTATTTGCTACCCTATCTTCTCCCCCTCAAGGAGCTCTCTCTGGTGTAGTTGTGGTTATGAGTTGGGCTGCTAATCTCAAGGTCAGCAATTCTAAACTACCAGAGGTTCCTCAGGAGAAACATGAGACTTTCTGCTCACGTAAAGATTTACAGCCTCGGAAACCCTATATAGAGTTGCTGTGATACGGAACTGACTCCAACTCCACAGCACATCACCACCACCACCACCGCTACCCCTCTGGCCCTTTGTGGTACCCCCAACTCACCCACTTGCCAGTGGATTCTGTTCCACTCATAGTGACCCTATGCCTCATTTTTTTCTCTTCTAGCGCTGTAGGATGAGCACTGGGATCCTAACCACAAGGTCGGTGGTTCAAACCCACCAGCTGCTCTTCCGAAACCCTGTACAAGGGTGCCTAATTGATTCGATGGCACTTAACAACAAGAAAGCGGCTGCTGGGTTTGAACCACCGACCTTGTGGTTACCAGTCTAACGCTATTGTGGTACCCAGCCCTAATCTTTGTAGAGTAGGTGACTTGTTGAAGAATCGCGGGTGGCACAGTGGTTAAAGTGCTCTGCTGCTAACCAAAAAAGGCCGGTGATTGGAACCTCCAGCTGCTTCATGGGATAAAGATTTGACATTTGGTTTCCATAGAGATTTATAGCCTTGGGAAGCCTATAGGAGAGTTCTAAGTAGGAATCAATTTGAGGGCAGTGGGTTTGGAATGGTTTGGGCATCTTGTCTGGGAGTGTTGGAGAAGACCTGGAAGTAGATGACAGCCTAGTGAGGATGGAATTGGGGGACAAAGTTTTAAGGAACAGGACAAAAAAAAAAAAAAAGAAAGAGAACAGGACACGGTAAGCAGAGAGAACCAGAAGAACTTAACCAGTATCTGGTGGAGGAGAGAAGGATGGAAGGATATAGATTTAGGGAAGGGCTGAGAGAACAGCCCCCTGGATAATAGTTGCACCCCAGCTCACACTTTGGGGCTGACGGTTCCTCAGGAACTCTTACAGGTCTAGGTGTTCCTTATGGGCTGAGAGCTGAAGAAAGATATCTATCTTTGGTCTGGGCTAGCTTTGATTTTTTTCCTTGTTTACATATACTTAGAACAGCAGTTGTCTGAGTTTAACCTTTTAGAAATTAAAGCTAAGAAAAAAAAAGTACTTGTTAATTAATTGAAAAAATAGTAAGTCCATTGTTGTTAGATGCTGTTGAGCTGGCTCTGACTCATAATGACCCTGTATAGCGTTTCCAAGGAGTGGCTGGTGGTTTTGAACTGCCAACCTTGTTTAACAGTACAGAGCCACACCAGGATTCCATAAGCCCATTGTTGTTGTTTTTGTTATGTGCTGTGGAGTCGGTTCCGACTCATAGTGACCCTATATAGACTTTCTGAGGCTGTAAATCTTTACAGGAGCAGAAAGCCTCATCTTTCTCCCATGGAACAGCTGGTAGTTTCGAACTGCTGACCTTAAGGTTTGCAGCCCTATTAGTAACCACCAAGCTACCAGAGCTCCTTTACATGTTAGTAAAATTAGCATTTTTATAAACAATAACATTATTTCCTCCTAAATTTTGGTGAAAAGTAGCATTGTTTTACATTTTTACAAATCTCCTTGCATTTCCTGTCATTATAAACGACAGTGTGATTCTCACATTGTCATGTCCTGTATCCTCTGGAAAACTACTGTATACCCATAAGAGAATGAGAATGGAACAGGAAGTAATGGCTTGGTTTGATTTGAAAATGGTGTTGACTTCATGAACCCCTTCTAAAAAGGCCTTTGGGACCCATGCTGTTGTTGTTAAATGCCGTCGAGTCGATTCCGACCCATAGCGACCCTGTATAGGGTTTCCAAGGAGCAGCTGGTGAGCTTGAACTGTTGACCTTGCAGTTCAAATGGCTTTGTAGTCTGGTGCATTAACCCACAGCGCCACACCAGTAGTCCACTTGAGACCCATGTTGTTGTTAAGTGCCATCGAGTCGGGTCCGACCCATAGCGACCCTGTATAGGGTTTCTGAGGAGCAACTGGTGAGCTTGAACCACCAGCCTTGCAGTTCAAATGGCTTTGCAGTCTGGTGTGTTAACCTACAGTGCCACACCAGGACTCCCCATAGAGATCCCTAAACCACCGCCGTTTGAGAACTGATTTAGAATCGTTTTCTTGCTATAAAATATATTCAGCCCTGCCAACATTACCTTTGGTCACAAGCCTGGTTTGAGTGATGATACGTAATGGAGCTGCCTGGCATTGTGAAAATAACAAAAACAAAATGTATACAGGAAACTATACATTAGAAAATGAAAACTGCCTGTCGTATCACAATCCTATGTGTTTGTATTGTAATAATAAAATATAGCAACTGAGTGGTATTTGAGTGACTTGGATCAAGGTGGGTTGGGAAGACCTCAGTGGCCTTCGGGTTTTGAATGGGGACAAGGACACTGGTATCCCACAAAGCTGATGCCGGTTCCTGGTTGCAGGCGGAGTTGATCTGGAAACCTCTTCTTGGCCACTGTCCTATCTAAGGAACTCACCTTCCAGAGCCTGCCTGAACAGAATTGGTGGGAGACCCTCCTAGGAACAGAGAAAATGGCGACCTTCAGGCAGCTGTCCTTGGGTATGAAGGCCGCAGTGGCTGCTGGTACTATCTTCTTATCCATGATCATCTCTCACTCCTATCTGGCGGAGATCCTGGAGCTCAGGTCCTGGCATTGGCTGTTACAACTGCAGCTTGCCTTGTTTGTCAACTCACTTATGCTCATCGGTTCCCTCTACATCTGGCGTAGCACCGTAAGCAACCTCTGTCACTCCCCAGCAGCCGAGTCGGCTTGGTTTCAGCTTTGGAAGATGGCTGTTGTGACATTTCTGGCTCTGGCCCACTCCAGTTTCTTCACCATGCTCTTTTTAGTGGCAGAGGAGCCCTATCTCTTTTCCTTGGCAGCCTATTCCTGCCTCGGTGCATACATTATCATGGTCTTCTTCCTCTGTATCCTCAGCGGCATGGAGCATGCCTACCAGCTCTTGGCCTGGCGCAGTGGCAGGGTTGTTGGCAGCCTTGACAAGACAAGGAAACTGGCACTCAGGCCTGCCCTGGCAGTGGTGGTGACTGCTGTGCTCAGTGTGGTTGGGTTCCTGAATGCTGCCCAGCCTCCAGCCGTGAAAACTGTGGAGGTGCCCATCCATCAGCTGCCTCCCTCTATGGACAACCTCAAGATTGTACTCCTCTCAGACATCCACTTAGGTCCCACAGTGGGCAGGACCAAGATGGAGATGTTTGTGAAGATGGTGAACATACTGGAGCCCGATGTCACGGTGATTGTGGGTGATTTGTCTGATTCGGAAGCCTCAATCCTTCGACCAGCTGTTGTCCCCTTGGGTCAGCTTCGTTCGCGCCTTGGCACCTACTTCGTCACTGGAAATCATGAGTACTACACGTCGGATGTCAGCAACTGGTTTGCACTGCTGGAATCCCTGCATGTAAAGCCCCTTCACAATGAAAATGTGAAGATTTCTGCGACAGGGGCCCAACATGGCGGTGGTGAAGATGGCGACTGGGTCTGCTTGGCTGGAGTGGATGACATTGAAGCAGATATCTTGCGCTACTCTGGCCATGGCATGGATCTTGTCAAGGCCCTAGAGGGCTGCAGTCCAGACCACACGACCATCTTGCTAGCTCACCAGCCCCTGGCTGCCAAGAGAGCCCTCCAGGAGCGGCCAGATATCAACCTGATCCTTTCTGGGCACACGCATGCTGGCCAAATCTTCCCCTTGAATGTGGCAGCCTATCTCCTGAACCCCTTCTTTGCAGGTCTCTACCGCGTGGCCCAGACTACATTTGTCTATGTCAGCCCAGGCACAGCTTACTTTGGGATACCGATGAGATTGGGTAGCAGGGCGGAGATTACTGCGCTCATCTTGCGTCATGCTCCCTGAGCCCAGCTCTGCTCTTCCCCACCATCCTCTCCTCCCCTCTTCAGAGTGGCTAGCCTGCTTTACCCGCTTTCCTGCCCAGCCCTGCCAACATACCCTTGGTCACAAGACTGCTTTGAACAGTGATTCATCATGAAACTGCCTGGAAAATTCATACTAGCTAAGTTGCCTTGTATATGCATTTGTGTGGCCACTATGGTCACATATATAAGAGTGTGTCGTTTCTAGATGGTGTAAAGTGAGGCCCTCCTCCTATGCAAAGTTCATGAGGAAGAATCGAACCATAAGGGCTACTTTAGAGGGAAATCTCTAGAAAAAAGAGTAGGGAAAGAGCAGGCATGTTTTCCTAAACCATCTTTAAGACTATTGTGGGCTTGTAGAATTGTTGATCCAGAACTTTTCTGGAGAGGGAACCATTTTGCTAGGAAATTTGAGCAAACACGTGAGATGGAGGCTCCTCTAGCTGCTAGAAAAGATTGGGTATTTCCCATTGGCCCCGGCAGAGTCACCATTAGCAGAAGCTCTGGGATACAGGCTTTGTGCCAGGCATTGAGGTGACTGTACTCCTGGACCTTTGGGGGTGGGGAAGGTAGGAATAATATGAGCAGTGTGGTAGTGATGCTGATAATAATAATACTGCTGCTTAGGAATTCTGAGGAACTTTTCCTCCCTCATCTTGTTTTTTACAGCACTTAGGTGAGGTCATTGGGAACAGGCTGCCTTTCCCCATTTAGAGGTGAGGCTATGGAGGCAAAGAGGTGGAGCACTGGCAACATGACAAGGTTAAGAGGTGATTTGATGCCTGGAGCCAGGTCTCTACCTCACAATAAAAGTGTTCTTTCCACTGTGAGGGTTATGTAGCTGTATCTGTTACAGGTACATGCAGGATGAACAGGAGAATGATCCAAGGGCCTTAGAGCCTGTTCTTTCAAAATGATTTCCTTGAGACAGAACTGCATATTATTATTAAGCGCTCTTGAGTTGGTTCTGACTCATAGCGACCCTGTGTACGGTTTCTCAGGAGTGGCTGGTGAGTCCTTGCAGTCCAGTGTTTATCCTACAGTGCCATAGCAGGACTCCAGAACTTATGAGCTAGAACATGAAAGGGAGTTGGCTTGTTTCCACTTAGGAAGTCCATTATATTTGAAGAAGAATTAGGGACTGAAATCCTCCTCCTCAGGTTTGAGTCTGAGTTTTTATGAGAAGTTGAAGTTCAGTCTTTACCAAGGCACAGGGTAGCAGGGTTCTGTACCCCAAGTGTCCTTCCCCTGTGAAGTGTTCCTCAGCTGTGAAGTGCTGAGACTGTCCTTCCTGCTGGGCGGTTTCTAGTCTACCTGCCTAACCCCCTTAAGAGCTGACCTTTGCTAGCCCCTTGACCCTCAGAAAGACAGGCAGGACTGACCATGTCCACAGTCAACCCAATTCCTCTTAGTGCACTGCTCATGACAAAGACAAGAGGCTCTTTGACCTTAGATTGGAAAGACCCATCCTGTTAGAAGAGATCTTATGGAGAAGACTGAGAACCTGGGTCCAGTGTTGATTTTCTTGAAACTGGGAGTCTTTGTCCAACAGGGAACAAACACACCTGCTCTGATTGGAGGGACTCAACTGTGCTGGTCCTGCAGTGCAGAACAAGTAACTTGGCTTCTCTGAGCCTCCATTTTCTTCACCCATAAAATGGGGACAGTTGTATCTACCTCAAGATTGTTTCATTGGAAGGATTTTTAAGAAGTGCATGTGATACCGTGAACACTAATTGCTCAGATATTAAGTTTTTAAGGTTCCTGTTAGTCTTGGGAAGGAATGTTGGAGCAGCCTACTGGGAACATGAGTGGGCATCTGCTACCTCCTGTCACACAATTGGATTTGTTAAAGCAGCAACTGCTAGGGTTTGTTCTCTTCTACCCTTATACGTGTCTCCTTATGCCTACTCTACCTGACTAGAGTGAGTGATTTCATTTACTTCTTGTCCTTCTCATGATAATGAAGTACTTGGAGGGTCCTGGAGAGTATCCCTTCTTGTTCTCTGGAAACCAAGGTATTGATTTGATCGCAGCCTTCCAGTCAAGTGTAAAATAAGCCTTTGAGTTGAGATTCTGGTAGTTTCCTTATCTTTCCCCTTGCTTAGTATGCTTATAGTCAGGATTACATTTGGAGCAAAGGGATCAGCTTTTCTTTGAACACATTACAGATGGGATTGTAGGGAGATGAAGTGCCTTGCCCAGTTGGTAGCCCAGCAAGCCAGTTCCTTTGCCTTCCTCGCCAGGACTCCCTTTTCCACATCACCAGGTGGTACTCACCATCCCTCCCACCTCTCAGGAAGGCTACTCTTCCAAATCTTCTGTTATCCACCCCATTTTGGGGGTAATTTTTACTGGCTTTTCAGTTATCTTTTGTTTTAGATTTCACCAAATTCTGCTGTTGGATAGGCCCTGCCTACCTTCAGTAGAGTGGATAACAGTCGACTCACCTAATCTACCACTTTTTTCATGGTATCTTAATTTTGGATCATTTTCATTAATGCCCCAAGCTTGATGAAATTAGCTCTCTTCAAATTTTATTTTTTAGGTTTTTAAAAATTATTAATAATCATTTTGTCATCTTGTATGAGGGGGCTTCAAAAAAGTTTGCTGAAAAAATTGAATGAAAAGATAATGGACTTTTCCCATGAACTTTTTTGAAGCCCTCTCATGTGCCCATCATCCACTCTGAAGTCTTTGTTAGACTGACTCCTCTTTGTTAACAGAAATAAAACAAGTCCATCCCATGTGTCTGAGAAATAAATAGTTGTCAGCCCGTGTCACACTTGGTTGTATTCCCAGGCCTGGTGGTTTTTCCCCAGCAGAATTTCTCCTGGTGGGAGTTCTCTATGGTGCCCTTTATACCTCTGTTCTTCCTTCTTTACCCACTTACTTTGATTCTTTCTTTTTGTTTTAAGTAGTGTCAGGGGAGACGTGATGGGAGTTACAAGTAACGATTGTTTGAAGCTCAGTAATTCCGTTTCGTTTCACTTTCTTTTTAAAAATGTTAAATGTAAGTGATAATGAAAGTTAATGCTTTTTAAAAATTAAAAGTGGTACTATGCTGTCGTGTGCTGTTGACTCACATCTTCCTATTATAATGGCAATAAGTTAATTCTTCTGCTTATCGTTTGTAAACATTCATCCATCCATCCATTACTCTCCTTATTTACCTCCATTTTTTCTCCTTATTTTGATTTAAACTTTATTATGGTGGCTACATATGATAAGCACTGGGCTGCGAACCACAAGGTCCACAGTTCAAGTCCACCAGCCACTCTGTGAGAAAGATGAGACTTTATGCTCCTGTGAAGATTTGCAAGCCTCAGAAACCCTGTAGGGTGGCTATGAGTCAGAACCCACCTGACTCTTTGATACTTAACAACAACAGTGATGACATAGAAGTTAAAAAAGACTCAAAATGTAGAAACGCATATTGAATTGCCACATACTACTCATCCACCTTAAAAAATTATGACCATTTTGTTGAAACTTCTTGTCTGCCTCTGTCCCATACTAACTAAATATATATATAAATTTTGGCTGGAGTATATTAAGGCAAACACTAGAAAACACATAATTACACTCAATATCTTAGCATTTATTTATTTATTTAAAAAGCATAGTCATAATACTTATCATTATAACAGTGATTCTTTGATAGCATCTATGGCGCTGTAGGATAAGCGCTGGACTGCTAACCACAGTCGGCGATTCACACATACCTAATGCTTCTTGGAAGCCCTCTTAATGGTCCTTCTGAGTCAGAACTGACTCGACAGCCCTTACCAACAACAATATCCAGTTAAGTGTTCAATTTTTCCTGAGTATCTCAGATGTGTCTTTTCATAGTTCGTTTGTTTCAAGCAGACTCTAAAAACAAAGTTGTTATGTTGTGTTTGATACAGTTCTTAAGTGTCTCTTTTAAATCTGTAGCAATCATGGCTCCCCTGCCCCCTCCCATTTTAGGTCATTTATTTACTCAAGTTACCTGGGAACATATATTTTACAGCGTCCTATATTTTAGATTTGTGGGGATGTTTAACATGGTCTTTTATCCTTTGTATTTTCTTTAAACTGATAGTTTGTGCTAGAGGCTGGGTTAGATTAATATTCACCTTTTTTGCTCTGAAGACTTGGAACTGAGTATTTGTTATTGCATCCTGTTGAGATTGGATCACTTTGTGTTCATTGTGTTTAAGAATGACCAGTGGGTTCAGGTGTTCTCAGCCTGGTTCCTTCACTGTCACGTCCTCATTATTTTTCATCTAATGTTTAAGCAGTTATTGGTGATAGCTATTTAGAAGAATTACAAAATGATGATTTTAAAAATTCAGTCATATCGTCTGCAATTAATAACTGTTGTTCTTCTACAAAGAACTCTCTTCATCAATTGTTTGGTTGCTCTTTAAAAGTATGTATAGTAAGTCAAGCTAGATACTTGATTCTTTCCATTTATCAATTTTCAGAGTAGTGAAGTCAGACCTTAGCAACCTCTAAGGATGGCCAGTAAGGTTTTCTTTTCTTTTTGGTGGTGTTAGGTATTTTTATGAATTTGCATATTTTACATATCTGTTGTATTTAATTCCGTCAAAGTCATAAATATTTTGATGCTCAAAGTATTCCTCTGGAGTATTTCTAAGGAGTCCTGATGTGACTCTGTTTGATAAGCACTGGACTACTAACTACAAGATTGGCAGTTTAAACCCACGAGCCTTTTCTTGGAAACCCCTATACAGGTTCACTTTGACTTAGAACCATCTCGATGGCACTTAACAGCAACAATATTATTTCTAAGGAGCCCTGGTGTGGCACTGTAGGATAAGCACTGGACTGCTAACCACAAGACCAGTAGTTCAAACCCGCCAGCAACTCCTTGGAAACTCTGTACAGGGTCACTATGAGTCCTATTGACTTGAATGAACTTAACAACTACAGTATTTCTAAGGAGTACTTTAGGAAAAGCACTAGATTGCTAGCTGC